TCTTGTCTCTCATGTCAATGTACTCCGCAAGCACTCTTCACTGTCTTTCCCTCATTACAGTCAGTGAGATATCTATTACTGGCCAAGTTGACTGATAAAGCAGTGAGCTTCAGTTTGTGGCGTAGTAAGCCAGTTGTTTAACCCATAAGAACCCGGACCCGTTTCTACTTGGGAACATTGAGAACATAATTAAGACATATATAGACCATATTTCTGATAAATAACCCCCCCTAGTGTCATATAACTCATAACTTCAATAATGAGGATGCTTTTTTGGTTTAAATAGGTTAGAACATTGTTTGAACTGAAGAATAAAGGATATATTAACTAAATGTAATTGAATCAGCTAAATAAACTGAGCAGATCATAATCATATTTCTAATCGTGCATATGTCACTCCGGGTTTCCTGTGAAAGTCAGGATGGAACATCAGTGTAACTTTACAGAACATTAAAGTTCATGTGACACCGTGCCACGTTGGTTCCTTATGGGAAAGTATAAATATACATATGATAATTAAGACATCTATATACTATATTTCTGATAAATAACCCCCCCTAGTGTCAAATATCGGAAATGTCACATGTTGCACTTTAAGTTCAAAGAAAGTCTGGAAGTGGTTGCAGGCAATTTTATTTTTAATTTCACACTTTGAACATTGGAGAATCACATATTTTGTTGCTTAATGTTACATACATTAAGAAGTACTAAGTAAAAAAAAAAAAAATGGTCACTGAAGGAGCTGCACAGTGAATGTAACAAATAATGTTTATCAGATGTTAACACAGTAACCTTCCAAAAAAAAAAAATACAGTCTGTCTTTTATGTAGTCCTACGGGTCAATGTAAGCCGTAAGCACTCTCCTCACTCTCTTTCCCTCCCCCTCATTACAGTCAGTGAGATACCTATTGCTCTGTGTGGGAGGCTGTAAATCCCTGTCAGCTTGAATTGTTCCCAACACAGACTGATCATCCACAGCCTCCTTACTGGCCTCACAAACATTGTGGAGGACAAAGCAGGAGTAAATGACATGGGGCAGGTCAACCAAGTTTATGTCCATAGGCCTTCTAAGAGCAGCAAATCTGTTCTTGAGGCGACCAAAAGCACACTCAATGACCATACGTGCCCTACACAAAGTTAGCCCAAAGTACTGTTCCTGAACTGTGGAGCCACCGGTTGCATATTCCTTCATCAGGTACGGCAGCAGCGGGTAGGCAGGATCACCAAGAAGATAAATTGGTATGGCCTCCTCCTCGTCCACAATCTGTTTTCTCAGAGCAGGGATCTTTCCAGTTTTCAAGTACATGTTTACCTTTGAGTTAGCAAAGACCCGTGCATCATGCACACTCCCAGGCCACTTTACCACGACATCCATGAATCGGTACTTGTAATCACAGACGGCCTGTACATTAAGGGAATGTCTGCCTTTCCTGTTGATGTAGTCAGTGGGGTTGGTAGATGGCTGCTTGATTTCGATGTGGGTTCCGTCCACTGCTCCTAAACATTGGGGCATGTGATGAGCATGATCGAAGCCCTCAACCAGATCCGCGGTCTCGGGCTCAGTAAAAGGCAGCTTGATATATTTTGGACCCAGGTGGATTGAGATCGCTCTGCACGTCTGCCTAATAATGTAGGACAAAGTCTGGCGCGAAACACCGAAGGCGTTAGCAGTCTTCCGCATCCTTCCCCCATCGATCAATTGGTGCCCTCATGTTTGTTGTTTGCCTTTCAATATATGGGCACAGTTCTTCGGTCAGGGCGACGACAGAGGCTCTGGACATGCGGAAGTTCTCCCTCCATTCCTCATCCACGACAACGCCATTGACAAAATTGTCCCACCAACTGCTGCTTCTGCCCGGTCTTACCCAAAACCTTCTCCTGGTTGCCCTTCGGGTTATTCCCCGCGGTACTCTTAGCAACATGTAGGTCATGTTCTCCATGTCCTGTTGTTGCTGATGGATGAGCTCCTGTAGATGTTGCACAAAGAACTGTAGCATGGTCAGTAGCGACTGGAGCACGATAGCAACCCTGCGATCCGCCATTGTTGTTGTTAACGAAACACATCAGCAATGATGCGGGGTACGCGGAGAGGTGGGAAGAGGTGGGAAGAGGTGGGGAGAGGCGGGGCTATGAAACGGATGACCGTATAGGCGACCCCACGGCCCCGTTGGACCCCCCAGAGCGCTCCGTTCCCAGATCTATCCACCTTTGGACCCGTTGTCGTTTGCGGGGTCTGTTTCTACGTTTCCCTTACGGCGTCGTCGAGCTTAAAGGGCTATACGCATGAGAAATATGCGGATTCAACCCGTTTTCGTCCCTGTGGAGCCTAGGCCTTAACCATCTAGAATCTCTATGTCCTTGTATGCACTTGCATTGGGGGTGAGTGTTATTTCTTATAGTGTTGTAAAGACATGAGGTTGTTGATGCAAATTGCATTTCCTGGGCCTAGTCTTGAGCTTAAACAAAAAATTAAATTAAACATCTGCATATCTCAAATATGCTCACCCCCACTTCCTCTAAATATCACTTCTTCTTACGCTTGCTCAACTTACCAGCATACAAGTTATAAAAAGTACTGTAATGACACATAGCAATAGCATATTTTCAAGGCAGACACTTGTTTACTCTTACCTCAAAATGTATAGTTTTTAAGACAATGGCCAGTGTTAGCGTGTACAGAGTTAGAACAAAACAAAAACACAACATCACAAAAATAACTTTGTATATTCCCCTAGAATTTGACCCTCCATCAAATCACACACCATGTGTGATGCAGGTGCAAACCCTGACGGGGGCTTTCCTCTTCTCCCTGGAGACCCAGACCACCATTGGTTATGGTTTTCGATGCATCACTGAGGAATGTCCAGTAGCCATCATCCTCCTCATCGTCCAGCTGGTGCTCACTATGCTGATGGAGATCTTCATCACCGGTACCTTCCTAGCCAAGGTAGCCAATGCGTAAATATTTAACTGCCAAGTATTGTATATTTACATAGAACTTTGCTGTTTTCTTAATAATTGCTGCAAAAAGTGAAAGAGAATTTGTTTTTTTCTAATAAAAAGCAGGTGTGTCCTCTCCTAATTTGAAGCACAACTGCAGGCAATTCTTGAACAGGCATTCATCTGTTCCTATGTTGAGTGCAAAACTCCTCAACAAGTTTTATCAAAGATGATCAGACTAAAACCAGAACCTATTGATCTGTCCCTGCTTAGATTGCCCGGCCAAAGAAGCGAGGGGAGACGGTGAAGTTTAGCCAGCATGCTGTGGTGTCGACCCACGAAGGGCGACCCTGCCTGATGATCCGGGTGGCCAACATGCGCAAGAGTCTCCTGCTCGGGTGTCAGGTAAATGTGCATTGAGACAGAGTGTAGATTAACAGATATTAAAGATCTCCTATCATGTTATTTTTAGGCATATATTATGGGTCTCGGATAAATAAAATATATAAAAAACATGTCTATGATGTGTTTTGCTCAAAATACCAAACAGATCAGGCATTTTAGACATCCATTTTTCCTTTTGCCTCCACTAGGTGGGGGCTGGACAGATCCAGAGTTGGCGGACTTTGAGCTGTTGGTGATCATGAGTGCAACAGTTGAACCAACCTCCGCTACCTGCCAGGTGCGCACCTCCTACCTGCTGGAGGAGATTCTGTGGGGATCCGCCTGGAGCAGAGCTACAAGGAGAGAGGGGAGGAACGTGGCTGAGCCAGAGACACTCCTCTCAGTGTTCGCATCTGCAACGTGTGAACCAGGCGCGTCAAGCCCCGGATGTTTTTTCTTTAGCCCCGGACAATTCTCCCTCAATCATATAATACATTAACCGTGCTTTACCTGAACCTCATCATGACACTAGAGAGGACGGCAGGATTGTAATTTCCCGTGTTCAGTGAATGCAACAGAGGCAAGACACCAGACCAACCAGAGAGTTGCATGGAAATAAACGTGTCTTATTGGCTGACAGGTACCTATCTTGTGACAATGTTTAAACTGTCAGTCGGACTCAGAGTTTTTGAAGATGGACATACATGTAAGAACATTTTTTCTTAAAAAAGACGACAATTCTCAAGTGGTGGCTCACACAACAACCCCAGAGCCACCACTTGAGCCACGTAAACAAGGTATGTAAATGTCAGTAAACTTCCAAGTTATGCGAACATGTAAGCAAAGCATAAATTACAGCTACGTTGTTGACGTTACTTTGAATCGTGCGGGTAAGCTAAACCGTTAGTAAGTAGCTATAGCTAGCCAGAGATATTAAATTAACACTTTGTCATACAATCTAAATGTAATGTTTTTAGCGTTACCTGGTGATTTCAAAGAAAACTCTCTGGAAAATGTTGACTTACTGTCAGTGTTCGACATGAAGCTAAGCTACCTTACAGTACACAGTCACAGGGGAGTGATTTGTAAAATATCCATAAAGAAAAAGAAAATCTGTTTACAGTTCTGTTTCATATGGGTGTTGAGAGATGTATCCATATATCTCTTAATGTTGCTCTCAAAGTGCACCAGATTGATGCTTTTAACTTCAATTTTTAAAACAAAATCTTCCTGGGGGAGCCCCTAGAGGAGGTTACCCCTGCTTACACCTATATGCCATGAGCTGATTATCGAGCCTTCATTGGAACAGTCGCGGGTGCACTGTGTATGTGCGTGTGGGGAGTGTTGCAGTAGACATTTCCACTGTAGCACCCGGTACCTAAATGTACCTAAACCGAATGTTTCCAGGTCCAGGAAACGCCCCTGGTGTGAACAGATGAAACTATTTGAAAAGACAGAGTTCAATGTCAGAAGCAAATGAAAAAGCATAATAGGGCCTCTTTAATGTGAGTTATACAGTACAATTAAAATCCAATGTCATTCAAAAAGGCAAACATATAATCCAAGGAAAGAAATGCATTACAGATGCATTGTTCAGCTTTGTTCTTCCTCCTCTCTCCAAACAGATCCCTCTTCCTTCTTTCCCCAGGCCACGCCCCCTTACACACAGTGGCAGTTTCAACAGCAGCTGCACATACATGGATGTTGACAGGTTATAGCAGGTTGCAAATGTGACTGTTAGCATTGTAAGCTTGCCTTTCCGTGGGATTTATGAGTTACTAACTTTATCAAACTAATAGGGAACAGTTTTTTGTTGCCCTTTTACATTTTTCAGAGGTGAGTGCGGAGAATGTGAAAGTTCTGTTGTATGTGACTGAAAATGATTTTATTCTGATGGGAATGTGTGCCATTAATGAGGGTGAATAAAATGACTATGTTGGAAATTGAATGTAAATGTTAAATTGTATTGAATTAACATAGAGCCCCGTAATGTAAATAGTGTTTAAGAGAGAAAAAAAGAGATAAACCTCTCTAAAAAAAGTGCTTTAATAAAGGTGATTTTGTGTTTTAAAGGCAAAGTCGAATCATGTCGAATATGGAGGCTGGTTTCAAAGACATGAGCAATGAACCTGAGAGGAAGCTGGGGGAGGTTGTGGCTTACAAAACGCTGTGAAACTTCCGCATACCAGACATTTGCAGAATGAAGTCGTTTGTTAAAGTTCTCTTTGTCGTTTATTTGCTTTATTTATGTGAACCACAAGGTAAGAACATTAACTTGTTTTGTTCTCACAGTCAAAGTTGTTGTATTGTAGCACTACTTAAACAATATAAGATTAGAAACCTAATGCTTTTTTTAAACTGATATTTCAAATAGGTAGTATTTAGAAATGTATACAATTATTAGTTATTTGCTTATTATCATTTAATAAAGTAGTAATACTAATTAATGTAAAATTGTATCTAGATATTTTGATATATACAGTTATTTCGGTTGAAACCTCACCCAGGCACAAAGTCCTGGTGATGTAAAGGAAATATATCTTAATTTTAAGTGAATGTAAAATACAGCAGAAACTTGAACTAAAATCTCCAGTCATTAGGATTATTAAATAGTAGCTATACTTTTATGAATATGTTGATCGATACGAAGATTAACATTTAATTTTAAACACTTTTGTGTGGTGGTACGCACTTATTCAGTCCTTTCAAGTAACAGTTTAGATATTTGCATATTTTATAGTCTGGTTGTCAGCATAATGAACCTGGAAATGTTGAGTCCATCAAAGTTTTATGATATAAATGTGTAGTCCCCAGCACATAGAAACTGCTGGATTAAAATTTGCATATGTTTGTCAATTTGCACAATTAGAATAAATTGCGTTAATTGAAATAAATGTTTAAACAACAGCTAAAAAAACTCTTGGCCCATTTGCAAAATCTTGGATTGGTTTGGCAGTTATTGAGGACGCTGAATCCATTTCTGACAGTTTCAGGATCAAAAGTGGCAGCTTTAACCAGCAAGTGGAAATATATGTACTCTTGGCTGATTTTGACCATGTGTTACGATCATTGGATATAGAGAGCATGAGAGGGAAATTATTATTTTTACTTAGGACAATTCTTTTTCAAATAAATAGATAATCTGTCCAATACAAATGAGTCCCCTAAATCTTCTAAATCGACCAGAAATGAATCAAAATCAACTCACAGAGTACAAATATTAGCATATTCCTTTCAATTACCCCCAAACAACTCCAAAATTGTCAAAATCGGCCAAGCCATTTTTTTGTAACTATTGTCCACATAGGCTATAATGATAATTTATGCTAATAATAATTATGCTGATTGTGCAAATTGACCAACATCTGCAAGTTAGCATCTGGCAGTCTCTACAGTATGTGCTGTGTACCCAAACTATACATTTACAACATAACACTTTGGTGTTCTCAACATTTCCAGATTCACAATATGACTCAATGAGCTGGCAACTTTTAACTTTCAGAGTAGATGAAAAACACGGGAAGTGGTTTGAGACAGATTATAACCAAATGTAGAAAAAGAGGAAATGCTTCGCCTCTGTCAAATCTGGGGAACAATAGTATGAGAAAAGAGGGGGAAAAAATAAGCACGGTGTAAAAAAGTCCCCTGTTTTTCATACGAGACAGAATGGAAATAATTTGTGATATGAAAAAGAAACATAAATACTTAAAGCGAGATTTAGGTTGGCTAAGTTTCACCTGATAAACTCCTCTAAGCAGCTTCAAGGGTCAAAGCTAATCCAAGATTTAAAGATATTGTCCAACCTTTGATTATTCATAAGATGAAGGTATTTTATAATTACATGTAGTGGGAATAGAGAAATATTCAGTTTTGCCAGAATAAACATAATGTATGTGATATCTACTGTATGATGTGTCTACTGTTTTACAGGGATCAGTGCTGGGACTGTGTTTGTGCTGAAGGGAGAAGATTTGCTTCTGAATGTCACCAAAGCTGTTGTTCTTGAGGAATCCAATTTATTTTCCTGGAAATGTAATACAAGTAACATAGTGAGATTCACTTTTAATGACATCAAAGTCTTTGCTAATTACGATGGAAGGCTTGAGTTTCCTGTGAACAATTACTCAGTGAAATTGAAGAATCTCCAAGAGGCAGACAGTGGAGTTTATACTGCTGTGTTGGAAAGGGATAAAACAGAAAATATAGCAAAATATAACGTCAAAGTTCAAGGTAGGTTTGTTAACCTCTCAAACACTGATAGAGTTTCTGTGGTCTTGTTTCTAAAACTTTCCACCTTCTTCTTCCCTCCTCAGATCGAGCGTCTCTCCCTCTCCTCACAGTGAGCTCTGTCTCCAGTAACTCTTCCTCCTGTAGCTTCACTGTGACCTGCAGCTCACAGGACTCTCACATCAACAGCACTTTCACATGTGACAACCAAACCTGCAGTCAGGAGGGAGGAGAGCGATCAGAGGGGATCCCTGATACTTTTCTCCAGGTCCACCAATCAAGTGGCTCGATCATCTGTAACCATAGCAACCATGTCAGCTGGACCAATGACACCAGAACAATCAAAGATGTCTGCCACCAGCATGATGGTAAGACTGAAAGAGAAACTACTTCCTGATAATAACACACAGTTTAGAGTCAGAACATCAGAGCAAACAAGGTTCTTTGTTTTTATCCAAAACTTTGATATGTCTGTAAATAAGATACATTTTATTCCACAGTGTGACAAATACTGTACATTAGGTTTGTTATAAATATTGTAAAACCCATGTATTACTCAGGTACACTGTATTTTTCAGGGTCTAACATTTTTTAAAGGAAGAGTTTCTTTTTACCTCATTGAACCAATTACAAAAAACATTTGCAGTGCAAATATTGCTAACTATGTTTGTCCTCGTCTCAACATGACCTCTTTTAGTGTCCGCTGTTTTTCAGACAGGACAAGAAAACTAGAAGAGTGCATAAAACCAAATTAAAAGCTTGTTTTTCTTAATGGCACGTTTCAGTTAAACCTGTATGAAAAAAATAAAATTATGAGCCTTATCTTTCAACTACAATGAAGTGCTTTAATTAAGTATTTTGTAGTTTATAAAACTAAACTGAATTAGTCTGTGAAATTGGTGAAGTTCCTGCTCCAGTAATTTGACTATCAAAACAAGCTATCATCATCTACCAGCGTTGCTTTGATTAAACAAGAGCCAGGTGGTGTTTACATTTTCTTATTCAGTGACCTGTTGTAGTTTGGTAGTTTCACATTGAACTGAGTAAATGTTTGGTTTAACATATTAGGGTTAAAGCAAACGAATTCAATTATTTCTTACAACAGATCAGGTCTGCTACTAAGACATGTTTGTGTAATTAAATCGAACAGTCTGGCAGGATGTGATGCAGTAACACACTTGACTAAGTTTATGAATTTAACCAAGCATTATAATGTGGCTTATGTTTTTATTTACAGTTCCTCCCAAACCAGACCCTGTTCCCATCATTTTGGGAGTATTCTTCACAATTCTCATTCTCGCCATCATTGGTGTAGTACTTTGGTATCTTCGAATGAGAAGAACAAGTAAGTCTAAGTGTGCATTTTATCAAAAACATTTATTTTAGTTTTACTGTTTGTGGGAATTAAGTGTTTTAGTCAAGTTCATCATCTACACATCCCCATTGTCTATTGAGCAATCACATAAAACATATCTGGAACCTCTCATACAGCAACATACTCTATATAATATTCTCTTGAAAAAGATAATTTAGACACATATATATACAACATCTGGAGTCAATTCAGATGCAGCTCAAGTAATGTAAATGTTATGAAGGTAATAAGCTTTAAAGGTGAAGCTCTCAAAATGAAATGTAAATTAATGCAAATCCACATATATTTTGTATTGACTGACCTGCAGGCAAAAGGGTGAGTGTCGAAAATACAGTTTATGATACTGCTCAGGTAAGAGACAAGGTTTTTTTTACTTTCCACTCAAAAATGTAATTTCTTTTTGATTTTGAACAATTTAAACAAACTTGGACTGAATGAGGAACAAGCTAAATCCATAACTGGAGCCTCAGACAGTTATATTGCCTACTATGCACACTAATCACTATGCACACAGAGTATCTGCATATATGTAATGGTTATTTGATGTATATTATCCATGACTCCTTTCTCCACCACCGTCTGCAGTTCCAGGTCCTGCTGCTCACATTTCTGGTTGTGCTGCTTGCTCTTTTAAAGCTCTGGATCCGACTAACCTGATGCACCGCGATGCTTCTCTCTAAACCTGCTGCTGAGGTTTCTGTCTGGCAATTATTGTATTCAAACTGCACTGTGTTTCCTAGTGATGTGTATTTGTTGTTTGCTTGTGTGTGTTACTTTCTTTATTTTTTTTAATATAGTTTTTCCATAAATTGATGCACTGATGGAACGATGGTCCTTCTTCTAAAACGCAAAAGGTGTCATGTTTTTAAAACTCTTAATAACATGCTGGTGTCATAAACATAATGCAGACACAGTGACATTTACCAAAGGTTTCTTTCATGCATATCACATACATGATCAGAACTGTGCTTCCTATTTTTGTCACACAGCCGTTAACCAAAGCTATGTGACTTCCTACTGAGCCTTTGTACTTCTGCATTTTTACACAATACATGCTGAGAGCAGAAGCCTCTCATGGGAAAGCTGCACTTGAGATACATTTGATTTCAAACCGTTTGATAGCTGTGTGAAAAGTTAAACTCAGTAACGTACTTTCAACTGTTTTAAGAGAACCAGAAATCTTAATATTTTGTCTCAGAACAAATTAAGAAAAGAGGAGACCTGTAATTCCCCATGTCTTTCTCTAAATGCAAAGTACTGTATTTGTTAGCAGTGCAAATGCTTTTTTGTCTGTGCTTATTTGGCCTTACTCTGCTTTTGATTAATAACACCTAAAATGTCATGCCTTTTAACTGAAAATACAAATGAATCTTACATTTTTGTTAAACACCATTATCACTTTTACAGTCAATAATATGGAATTGTATTGTATTTGAGGAATATATGACATATAAAAATACAATATTATACAAACAAACTTTGGTAAATCAATGTGTTGTGATGTTCCAGCCCGGAGCTCCAGCCCGGCGTAAAGACCCAACAGCTGATGAAGATTCAGCTCCGCCTTTGTCCTCCTGCTACGCTTGTGTTGGTCCTCACACTGGACCCCCAGCTCCCACTGAGCCTAGAAACACAGCTCAGCTAGAGAGTATGTACACTGAGGTAAAAAAGAGCCCACCAGGTCCTTGAAAAATTATCAGGAGTCGTTTTCCACATCCTGCACTCTTTGGGATTATGAGCAACTGAGCCACATTACCCTCTTTTGGTGTGAACATCCTAAACCACGTCCTGTGTCTGCACCCAGAAGTGCTCTAACTCCACCTTCAATGCACAGCTGTGATTGGTTAATGATCGATTGAAATGACTCCTTTTCTTGCAGTTTATGAATTCTGAAGCTCTATGGCTATCGGCTGCCATCTTGACTCAAATGATATTATTTATTGACTCCTCTCAGACAATACTGTGACAAACATGTATTTTATTTTTTTACATCTTAGTGTTTTGTCTGTTTTTGGATATCTTTGATTTCTGTCTGTTGTATGCACATGATCCTATTAGTCTATTTTGAAATACTGGAAAGCAATGATGTTTTGCACATTTTTACGAACGTTTCAAAGACTATAGCTAACTTGAAGAGCAACAGGAACCACTGATCCTAGTTAGCATCAAGCTAATTAGAGGATGAAACCCTTGCAAATGCACACATCACAGCACACACAGTGAAATATGACCTCTCGGGGGGTTAGGGGTGTCTGATGCCTTGCTCAAGGGCACCACGGCAGGGCCAAGGAGGTGGACTGGGACTTCTCCAAGTACCAGTCCACACTCCATATTTTAGGTCTGTTCGGGGACTTGAACCAGCGACCCTACGGCTCCCAGTCCAAGCCCCTACTGACTAAGCCAATACCGGCAAGAAGAAGATCATTGGATTGAACGGTTTTCTACATTTTACACACAGTTTAACGACAGGCTTTGAGAGAAACAGATTACATGTAATGGAATTAATGTTATTGTGTGCAAAAGATTTTATAGTGTTTACCCTAAAGGCCCTGACACACCAGGCAGTCACCAGAGAACTCGCCGATGCCGACGCCGACTGTTGTGTCGGCGAGTTCTCCTGCGTCTTGGCCAACGTCGCACTGGAACACACCGCAAAGACTTCAGCCGAGCACGTACGAACTGCGCATGCGTGAGTGACAATAACTCTCCTTACCAGCAGGCGGCGGTAGTGTGTATTCATCATTCAAAATAGGCAACAACCGGAAGACAGAGAAGAAGAACAGACTGTGATATAAACAAACAACAAATAGCGTGTGCGTTCCATTTTCACTCTCGTCCATCGAAAACATGTTTCGTGCGGTACTGGAGCTATCAGCCATGGAGTGTTGCTTGTGGAAGACATTCTCAAGCAACAGTCTCTCAAGAGCTTATATATACAGTCTATGCTCAAGAGGCGGAAGCGAAGAATTAGGAGAAACCGCACTAAATGGGTGAAATCATGGGTACTACAGCGAGAAGCTCATGGGGCTTTCCTGAACCTGTGTCGAGAGCTCGAGTTAAATGAAATGACAGATTTCAGATATTTTCCTCAAGCTTTGGTAAAGTGTATTCTTTGAATGCAGATTTGGGTTCTGCCCGCTCTGTATTAATGTCATGTGGATTTTCCTGTCATGTTGACAGGTTATCATCATGTAGGCGTTGATAAAAGCAAATTTGAATGTTGTGTTATGTGTGTATGAAGGTACGAAATAAAGTTTTGCATTGCCTATCCTGCTATTTCTGTTTATTCTTTTAATCACACAGCGATAAGAAACAATAACTATGTGCCTACATAACTGTCAGTTGCAGCCCTAGCATTAGTATTGGTTATAGTAACAGCTACAACATTACAATACTTCTAGGCAGATTGAGGAGGATAATGGGAGAATGAACAGAGGGGCAGAAACATCCATCTGAATAATAATAATAACTTTATTTGTATAACACCTTTCATACAGGGGATTGCAGTTCAAAGTGCTTTACATCAGTAAGAAATAAGACATCAAATCAGTGTAAAACAAGCAGCAAGAGCAAAGCATAAAGTGGGATAAAATAAGACAGATATATTATATATATATAGATATCCCAACAGGCCACCTTGTTTATGGTTAGATTCAGTTTTAGTAGAATATAAAATACATGAATGATGAAATGAGCACATAAAGTGCAGACATACTATAAAATCACAGTTAATAGACCTGCATCTGATGATCGCAGTGTTCTGGCGGGTGTGTCGTTTATTGAGTCAGCAATGTAGTAATGTATGTAATGTAATAATGGCCACTTCTTGCTAAATTTACATTTCCATGTGATGCTTTTATCCGAGGCGACTCACAATAGGTAAATGAACAGCAGTAGACAGTATCTCATTTACTTAGACACTGTACTTAAGGACAATGTTGAGGTACTTGAGACTAATCCTGCAACTTTATACTGACAAATAAACCGATGAGATGAAAAACCGGACTTGACCAAACAAATCACGGAGCTCTCAGCAGAGGACAGCCGGGGAAGCTCCCGCCGATATCAGAGATGTCCCTGCTATGTGTGGGAGGTAAGAGAGGACATTTAAGGGCTATGTTTGATGTCTTTTAAGTATCACCTGCTGGGGTTTAGCTGCTGTCCTGTGCCTTCTTAAATCGTTTGTTTACGTCCCTCACTTCCGTTTCGCTTCTCATTTGCTAGCTGAACAGCTGATCAGAGTGGTTTCTTGGTCCGACTGCCTGTGTCCGTGCGTCGACCGTGAAAGGCCAAATAAGGCGTGTCACGGCCGACGGTTCGGGACACACCAAATTGACTTTGGGCGACAGGGCACGCTTCGTCGTCAGACTAACGAAGACGGACGATTTCGGCCTGGTGTGTCTGGGCCTTTAGAGTTACAGAAATACGTTGTTACTGCTACATAACGGAAAAAAGGGGGATTATAAGAATGATTACAATGTTACAATACATTTTCAAGTAAAGAAGTAATTGAAAGCTGTGCCTTCCAGCTGTTAATATACTATCATTTTCCAAGGAGTCAACATTTAATTTAATGAAGAATTTGCAGGTTAATGATTTGTAAATGATGGTTTTCTGTGGTCCACTTCGTATAGGTAGCCGTGCTTAGAATTTGTTATTAATTTAGGACACTTTCACCCTTCTTCTTTTTAAAAGAAATATACTTTTAAATGCGGCAGATGGACACCATTTATAAAAAATACTGTGTATTATTTTATGCCGTTGCCAATGCAGTTGCACCAACATTGATTTTGCTAAGTGAATGTACCTGCAGGATTCTTTCTTTTTTAGGTTGTTTCTTCATGGTCTGAGGCACTTACTGTGAGACGCTTCTTGATAAAAGTGTAAGATAAATAAATGTGATGTAATGTGAGTATGTCATATAATGTTATGTGAGTGTACAGTATTTCATGTATTAAAATAAAGCAGCATTTGTAAACTATATTCTTTAGGCCTAGCCTTTTTATTTGAAAGATTAGGCCATATATATCCTGAATATTTGATGTGTTTTCTTCCCTCTTTGACAGCTAAGTAGGTGGACAGGGGATTTGTTACAAATACTGTGAAAGCTCTTAATTATTAGACTGCAGTGAACTTAACAAAAGAACAGCATATTATTATTCAAGTCTTTTTTAGCCCACTCGTTTCTCCTTCCTACCTCAAATATGGTCAAAACTCTTCTGAAAGTAAACAGACTTGTAATAATAAACATATTTTACCATTCCTCTTCTCATTAACTATGACTACTACTCCTAAAGTAATAACTCTTGACACAATTTGCCCTGGTATTGGGGAAATGAAACCCGTTGTAGGATATCACTGAAACATTCGGTCTTTTCAGCTCTCAGAGTCGTTTCACTGGGACTTTCTTCAACCTTGTCCTTCATTTTCCTCCTCTTACTCACAACAGTTTTGTTCCTTCTAAAGTGGCCTTGAGCTATAACCTCTAATTGTTCTTAATAGCAGGGACAGCGTTGAAGAACCAAAGAAGCAAAGTAATGTAATGTATCAAAAAACTCAAAATAATTTCACATCATAATAACATTAAGTTCAGTATGCTGGTTTTATGTAATTTTCTAATGTTTTAAATGTTTTATTAAAAAATAATTGGCTTCTAATGCAAAGCACTGACAACCAGGCTTTGTTTTCTGCATTTTGCCCCTGAATAACCGACTGTTTTTAGGAATAAACGATGAATTGTTATAGGCAGTAAGAAGCAAACAGTTTTTTGACTGCAAATAAATTCACTTGAGAAAACTACACATACAATCTTACAATCTTGCAATACAACTATTATAACTGTTGCACAGTTTATTGTTTAACATTTTTTTTATATTTCCATGACGAAGCAGGACATATTTCCTTTAATAAAATTACTTTACTCTGAGTTACCTTTCTCTGGAATTCTTAGACATCACTTCCTGTCAGGACCTCAACACAAACTGATGAACCCAAATGCACGACCCAGAGACAAAGTCTTGAATGTAATAAAATGTATTTATTAATTCCATTGATCAGGAAATCCCTCTTAACAGAGTAGGAGCTGGAATAAACAAAAAGCGCTCACAAGGAGGAAAAAACTAGGCATAACAAAAGGAGAACTTAAGTCTACATAAATCAACAAAATAACATAACCTGACATGAGAGAAAGCAATCCTTTCGGAGCTGAGGCTTGGCACGACCGTTCGGGGAAACAAACAAGACGAACTGACACAGGACAGGGGAGAGACAGGACTATTTCAACATGAGGTGAGTGGGAACAGGTGGAAACAATCAGGGGCGGGGCAGACACTGATGATGGCGGGAAAAACACACAAGGGGAGGAAGTAACAGGGCCTGAAATGAAAGACAAGAGGTAAGTACAAAATAAAACAGGAAATGACAGACAAAATACATAAACATAACTAACACATTTGACGAGACACAACACTTCCTCTTCTTTAGTTTGTGAGCACTTAATTTCATGGTTATACAGTACAAACAAAGGAAGGTTATCTACCCCTGACATGTTTTAAGATGAAACATCTCAAGTACATTTTTCAAACTGAAGAAGCCTGCTCACATACTTGAGCTAAATCGGATAAATGTTAAAACTTTGAATTAGACTTGTTTGTATCCTACCTTGTGCCTCAGTGCAGACCAGCAGCCCCAGAATCACGAAGATGAACATGACAGTCTCTGAATACTCCATACAATAATGTGTGCTTCCTGTTTGGCTCTAACAAACACACCACCAAGTATTTTCACAGTTGGGTTTTTTCCTTTTAAAACCACACAACCTTTTGCATGATGTGAAGACCTTCACTTATATTTTCACCTTACCAACAAACAAACGACAAAACTGTGCTCCATTTTGCAAATAAGCAAAAGGTGTTATGTTATCAAAACTCTAAATGTACATATAAAATGCTGTTAAAACACAATTCTGCATTTTTCTTTCATGCATATCACATCTGATCACAACTTTGCTTCCTATGTTTGGCACTTACAAGTTAACCATATGTGACTTGCTGAGCCAAGCAGTTGGTACTTCTGCATTTTCTTACTCAATACATAGCCTACTGAGCGCAGAAGACTCTCACGGGAAAGCTGCACTTGGGATACATGTTTCTGCAAACTGTGTGATAGTTGTGTGAAAAGTAAAACACAGAAACAGAGGGTGCTTTTCCAGGTGCTCTAAGCGCTTTGCACGACATATTACACATATTAGACATGTAACAGTTATTACTGTGGACAATTACCACAGGAGCAAATTAGGGTGAAGTGTCTTGCCCAAGGACAAAACGACGTGACGCAGTGGCAGCTGAGGAGGGTTCGAACTGGTGTTCACCAATGCCCCTTGATCTGATGGCCCATTGAGCCAACACTACCCCGACATGAGCAAAGAAGCTTTGCTGACAGGAAACTGATAAGACGCTGTGACACTTCCGCATACAGCACATTTGCAGAATGAAGTCGTTTGTCACAGTTCTCTTTGTCGTTTATGAGCTTTATTTATGTGAATCACAAGGTAAGCACATTGTTTTTTTGTCTTCTCTTGTTGATCGACTTTTTTTGTTTTCACTGTCAAAGTTGTTGTACTGTACTACTTAAAGAATATAAGATTAGAAACGTAATGCTTTTTTGAATCGTATATTTCAATTAGGTAGTATTTAGAAATGTATACAATTATCAGTTATGTTCTTATTGTCATTTAATAAATTAGTAGCCTAATACTAATTAAATGTACAATTGTATTGAGATATTTTGATATGCAGTTACGTCGGTTGAAACCACACCCAGTCATTAGGATTATTAAATAGTATCTATACTTTTCTGAATATGTTGATCCATATGAAGATTAACATTTTATTCTAAACACTTTTGTGTTATTAAAGTGACACATTTAGAGGTGGCGATACACGCTTTTTCCTGCTGTAGACACCCACCCCCACCGGATTCGAAGATTTGGGTGTTCTAGTCAGACGGACGTCACGCAGGCGTTGGACTTCCTTTTTTTGTATAATGTCGATCTTTTCACTGAATGATCGTCTTGAAAAGGTTACTAACAACAATTCCGCAACAACATCATCTTCACCTGTTGCCATTTCGAATTAAAAAAACAATTACACTTTAAATGAATTGCTACGTAACACTTACGCTGGATCCTCTGTCTCGAGCATGTGAACTAACGGGTCTTCTAGAGCAGTGGTTCCCAACCTTTTTTTTACCAAGGCACCCCTGAAAATATTTCTCGA